ACAGCGAAGGCCTTCGTGATGCAGTAGTGTAGGTGTGTCTTCGTGTGTCTTTATTAATGCCAACTGAGTGGGCTGAGCGGTTCGGGTACTTTTAGACCAGCAATGACACTGCATTCTGGAATCTGGAATCTCTGCACCAACTGTTATTTGAGGTGACAGTATCTACTTTCTCCTAGTGACAACGTCTCACAGATATGGGCGCTGCTGTAGTTTCCTCCGTGCACAACAGAAGGCAGGTCCGACTGCGGTTAGCGGTGCGGGAAATAAGGATGTCGTTTCCCCAGCCGCTTGTGGAACCCCGGGTGGGAGCCCCACTCAGGGGCTGGTCCCCAGTGGCATCTCAGAGGGACATGGGGTTTGGGGATGCTGAGCTGCCCCCACTGCTCGCTTCAGCTCTCCCGCCGCTGGCTGGACAGCGGGGCAAGGTCAGCTGGAGGGAGAAGGAGACGGTGGCAGCTCACCTGGTTAGGAGATAGCTCCCTGCCCCCCTGACCACGAGCCTCTCCAATGCCAGAATTCTGTCAGGGCCCCGAAGCCCCCATCCTGATGCTCAGGACTGCACAGGACGCCCATGTGCACAATCTTGCAGATGTAAACTAAAGCTGACAATCTGAGTTCATTGAATTACTTGTATGCTTTCAGAGGTCAGAGAGATCCAAAGTGGCTGCTGGCTCTAAGAAGCAGAGGCCACATTCTAGGACCAGAGAGTGGCTCCTAGGGACTGAGAATGACCCCAGGCAACAGCCGGCCAGTGCTCGGGGACGTGGTCCTACAACTCCGAGGAACTGCCCCTTGACAATCTGGAGGGGGTTAGAGGCAGTTTCTCCCTGCCCAGTGGACACCTTCATTTTGGCCTCATGAAACCCTGAGCAGAGAATGCAGGCGAGCCCCCCCAGACTTCCAACCTACGGAACTGTGAGCTGGGGGGACCCCCTAAGTCTGTGGCCATCTGTCACACAGCAGCAGGAGCCAATGGACTTCCTGTCTCCCTTCTCTGCTCACACAGGATTTTCCCGAGTTCCAGTACCCTCTAAGCTTCTTGGGCCCCAAAGCAAAGAAAGGGGTCTTTGAGGGGACGACACCTCCCTGGGCACCTCCTTATGCAGCTCCGAGCAGCCATCACCTTCATCCCACCATCCCTGCACTGTTCTCCTTTCTCTTGTGGAATCCTGTCATTTCTTCCTGCAGAACCCCAGCACTGCTCCTGCCATTAGCTACAGCCTCTCTCTTTCCCTGGCCCCCAACTGCCCCTTCTCAATAATACCCTATGATGACCCAAATGCATTCAACCCAGCACGTGCACAATAACATGTGCGAATGAGTTGGATATAAATGGCATGAATAAAACAGAACCTGCTCAGCCACCGTGTGGCTAAGGACACACACAGAACGTTATGGAGTCACCTGCCTCCCATACAGTCCTGTTTCCATCACTGATGCGGGTATGGGCGGCAGTCCCCAACGGTCAGGTCTCAAATCCCCCTCCCCAGATTGGTCAACTCCAGCTTGCCACTTTGCGGCTCTTAGAGCCTCAGTTTCCCCAGGTGAAACAAGAGATCATTGGTTAGAATAGGGTCCTCCCAGGGTGTTCCAGGGCCAGTAGCCTGATCACCAAAGGCAGCACATGAGAAATGTAAGTCCTTGGGTGGGCGCCTTCCCAGACCTGCTGGCCACATGGTGCTTGGACATACGCTGGGGTCTAAGATTTGCCAGGTTCTGGGGTCACTGAGGCTTCTACCAACTGGGATGTTCTAAGGCTCCAAAGGTGCCTGCTGATGAGGAACCTTGTTTGAGCCCAAACACTTTTGCTCTCATGGCCCCAGGTCTGTTTTTACTGGGGTCCTGAGGGTCCTCGGTCCAGGACCTTCCCCTCTGGCCCTCCTGTGTCCCTGCAGCCCAGTCTCCCGGGAGTCAGCTGTGAGCTCATCATCCCGGGGTGTCAGGACCCCCAGCTCTCCCCTTCTGAGGTTGAAAGGACCCTACAAAAGAGCAAGGTCATAGCAGAAACTCGTAAGGGGATACCCCAGAAGGGACAGAGATGGGAAGGAGCACTGTGAGGAGCTAAGGAGGGGGCAGCTGCCGAACAGCCCCGCACCCTGGCTGTCGGCTGGTGGCTCCTGCCTGCTTACAGGAGATGGCCGTGGCCTCCTGTCCTGTGCAGCACTGCTGAGACCCAGCCCCTCATTAGTCCCAGGAGCCCACCCTGAGCCCTCAGCTGGCTTCGCGGACTTCAGATGAACTCTCCAATGCCTTCCCTCTCCCATGCTTCACAGGTGTGCAAACAGTGTCTAGATGGGGATGGAGGGGCCTTACTCAGGGTCACTTACAAGAAGAACTAGGGTGTCCTGGCTTGGACCACACCCCCACCTTTGGCCCAGGTGAAAATTGGGGGTGGGGAACCCTGTAACCAGTCACTCCCTGTTTGTACCCTGATGCTGTCTGTTGGGGTCATGGTGAGGTTCAGACCCTGCCTTGGGGCGAGGGGAACTCCAGGAGCAGGAGGGCCCTGCCCAGCCTCCGGGGAGCTGCACTGCACCCATTTCCTGCACCTGGTCGCTGTGATTCACCCGATGAGGAATTCATTCCACTTTCCTCTCACTGCCAATGCCACGTGGAGGATGGTGTCTGTATTCCCACCTCCAGCTGCCGCCCAGCAAGGAGCTGGAAGTTGCACCCTGCTGTCCCTCGGGCCTTGCAAAATCAGAGTGTCCCAAATCAAACCCATCCCCTGCTCCTCCAAGACATCCCACTCTGTGCCTTTTCCCTGGAATCCCAGCTCTGGAGATTCCTTCCACACAGCAGAAAAAGCCAACCACTGGGTTAGGTGAGAAGATTACAGCCCCTGAGCTGCATGGAGTTGATGTCACCGCCAGCATGATCATTGAGAAGGTTCCAGAAATGCAGAAGATGTTTGACAGACAGAGGCAGAACATGAGCTGTTTTTGTCCTTAGGAAAAACGTGGATCTGTGAGTAAGACAAAAGCCACATGAACCGATGATGACGCTTGTGTCAGTGGGTCAGCTCATGGGCTTGTCTTCCTTCCAGATTTTCATAGCATTATTAGTTTCTTTCTGTTTAATAATAGTTTGTATTGAAGGGGGGACCAGCACCTTCAACTCCTTCAATTCAGAACACGCCCCAATGCAGCTTCAGAAAGCGGCCGGGGTCCCTGGGCCCACGGTTTCAGCCTGTGGCCGGGCCACGCCCGCAGCCCACAAGCGCTAATGGTTTTTTCCCCTCCCTCCCTCGCTCACTCACTCCTGTTGAAAGGCCGGGCGCCCGGCCAGGAAGACAGCAGAGATGCTGGCTGTGACATGCAGGGGAGGAAGGAGGCCGGCCCAGGACTCCGCGGCAGGCGGCAGGCCAGCCCAGCCGGGGCCAGCAGTGGCCTCCCTGGGACGATGGTCCCACGTGAATTTGACCATCCTTGTGTAGTGGCACTGGACAAGGCTCCCTAGCTCCGGCCCCTCCTCCCGCCCCAGCCACGCAGCCGTGGGGGTCCTGAGAGCCCAAGTCTTCATGAGGCTGGCGGGCTCTTAGGTTTTTCGAGTCCTGCTCTGGTTTCTTTTTGTAGTGGAATTTAGCAAACCTGAGCTCCTGTGCACTGAGGGCATGGCTCTGTGCTCACACACTTCCTGGTAGGACCTACCAGTGATTCTAAACCCAGAAGCAGGCACGTGGGCAAGGAGGGAAGGGCTCAGCAGGGTGCTGAAGCCAGTGGCATTGGGCTGGCCCTTGGGGCAGAACGTGGGCTCCGGTTCCAGCTCCCTTAGTCGCTTTTTTACTGTGACATCCTTTCCCCTCCTGCGCCTCAGTTTCTCCACCTATCCGATGAGCCGGTCAGAACTTATCCCATCCAAAGCTCCGAGAGAGGAGGTGAGTGGTGGACAGACAAGGCGGGGCCACTCCCAGACCTCCCTTGCTTGCTTTGGTTCCATGAGGTTCCTGACCGTAGAGGGGCTGGGGCACATGCCACCTGCAGGTCTTCTGGGGTCACCCCCTCTCGGAAGCCTTCTGCACCCCTGGTCCTGCCAGCTGCCTTCTTGGGACCTCTCTGACTCTCACCCACTCCTCCTGCACTGTCCTCTCACACCCGGGGCAGGAGGCGCCTCTCCAGAGCACGAGGACCCCATCTTCTCTCGTCCTTTGCTGGCACAGAGAGCAGAGTCGGAGCTGGACAGACGGGATATGGCACCTGTCCCGGGCCTCGAGGGAATGAGGAGGGTACGCAGGGTCTCTGTCTCAGTGGGCTTTGTTTGGGCCAGTGGGTCGCTACCTTGCTGTTGAGATGAGGCCTCCAGAGTGTCCCTCCTGGCCTGGATTGCTGTCTTCTAAGATCAGAGCCTCTCCATGGGCAAGGACGAGGTTTCCATCCTCAGACATGAGGACCCAAGAGCGTGCGGCCGTCCGCCCTGCCAGTGGATGGCTGCCCAGCTGGCCCGGAGCAGGTGGGGCAGAGCTGCCCAGGAGCCGACTGGATGGGGGCTGCCTCAAGGGTGCCAGTGTGCCCCTCGAGGCTCTGGCTTCTCTTCCCACCCACCAGCAGGGTCCCTACGAAAGGGGATTTGGAGGAGCACAGCTGGGACTCGGGGCACCTTCCCCAGGACCCCGGGTTGGGGGCCGCCCGTCCCTGCCCAGGGCTGCACGGCCCTGCTTGGAGCCCTCCTGGCAGCCGCCTGCTGCCCCACTGGGCCGCGCGGGATTTACTGACACATACTTTGAGCGAGTCCCGGCAGGCGGCAGAGCCTCTGTGTGCCCGCGGCCATGCATTTGCCAGCTTCGCTGGGCGGCAGCAGCACGTTCCGCTGCGGAAGGAATGTGGAGGAGTCAAGGCCTGAGACACCTGCAGGGTGTCACCTGGAGAGGCCGCGAGGAAGACCGAGGCACAGGCAGCATCCCCGCCACTTCCAGCCTCAGGGTGGGGTGAAGGGGTTGTGGGAACATCACATTGTGTCTTCATGTCCCCCACGCTCAGGCCACCTGACACAGTGTCTGTTTCTCACGGGGAAGATTCCCTTCATCCCTTCCTTCCTTCTTCCTTCCTTCATTCATTTGACAAACCTCCCCATGTGGCAAAAGGGAGCAAAGGGGACATACAGGAGGGCCAGGGAGCAGAAAAACAGTGCCTGCAGCTTGATCTGTGCATCCCTTTTGAATGTCACGGCCCCGATGGTGGAGGTGCCTACTTACAGAGGGAGGGACAGGTGTCTGGCAAGCAAATGGCAATTCTCCATGACCCAACGGGCACTCAGCACCACGCCACACTGAGCCTGGGCCTCGCTGAGTGAGGCTGGGTGGGAGCACGTCGTCAGGATGCAGAGGTGGGTGAAGCCACGCCTGGGACACTGTCTGTGCCCGGGGCCTGCATCTCCTCTGTAAGATCAGCTCAGGAGCCTCCATGAATATTGCACTGCCAGGTCACCGCTGGGCTAGATCTCCTTAAACCACACCTCCTGGAGTTTAGGGGTTTAGTAGGAACGACCGAGAGCACTGTCAGCTGCCACAGTGACCGGGGTGCTGTGCCGCTCTCCTCTGTGACCGGCATCCATGGGACCTCCCATCTGCATCCATGGCATTTCCCTTTCTCTCAGCCTCGTTTCTGCACCGCGGTGTGGTCAGCACCAGCTCTCATCCTTAGGAAACCAAAGCCTGTCTCCTTGTCCCCTGCAACCTTGGCTGCCAGCTGTCCCCTGTGGAGCCGTCCACATGTCTAATCCTTCATCCCCGACTGCCAGTGAGAGACACAAAATGGGTCTCTCCTGAAACTTCTCAGCAACGGAGGCCCCGGTCTTTCGATCAGTCTTAAAAGGGTGAAAGTGAAGTCTCATGTTTGGGTCAAAAATCTGAACAATTGACAAGGGCTGGGGTCAGTAGTCCAGGTGGAAAGGCACCCCCCAATCACTCAGGGAGTGCTTCGGGGTGGCCAGCGGACACAGAATTGCTTCTCAGATGAGCTACAGAGGGACTTGGTTTGTGTGTATTTAAATTTTTTTTTCTTTTTGGTGGCTGGCGGGCACAGGGATCCGAAGCCTTGACCTTGGTGTTATAACACCATGCTCTAACCAAGTGAGCTCACCGGCCAGCCCGAGCATGTATGTCAATGTCCAGCCCACTGCTGTAGATACGTAGTGACGCTGCAGCACTGTGGAACCGCTGTACGGTCGCCAAGCACTTTTTTCCATTTCTGTTCCTATTTCTTCATGGACAGGTGATCGACTACGCACAGCAGGCTCTGGCCCGGGGACCACACATTGAGAGGCACTGACTGTGCTGCCTGGACAGTGGGGCAAACCCGAGCCCTGCTCTCTCCATCTTAGGCCACACCCATGGGAAGGGTGGCAGCTCAGAGTCACCGGGAGACGGGAGCTTCCCGTCCCAATGGCCAGAGACTTGCACAAGGGACCCAGCAGAGCAAGTGGTCACCAGGTGGAAGGTCCCCCTAAGACCATATTTGTTGTAGTTTCATTCACTCCTCCTGTGTTTCCTGCCCCAAACGGTTTTAGGATATTTGTGCAATAAAACAGAAAATCACTGAAAAAGAAAGAAGACACCAAGCCCTATGAAATGGATGGGTGGCCAGCCTGGGGGAGCCCGAGCCCCGGCAGTGCCCGAGGGTCTCAGCAGCCAGCTGAGCAGGGCCACAGCAAGGCCGAGGGGTGGACTCGGGGGTGCAACACGGGTCCCTGTGGCGGGTGTTGATCCTGCTGGGCATGAGCTGAGATATCCTCCTTCAGATGTGTTAACTGTTTCTGACAGTGATGGCCCTCCCTCAGATAAGCATGGTGGTGCGCAGTTCTGGGGAGGCAACTGTCCCCAGCCCCCAGATTCCACAGCCCTGGAGAGGGTTGGCCTGTGTCTGTCGAGTCTGTCATTTTATGTTTTTTATACTAGCTACTGCCATCCCCAGCCTCAGGGGTGCAGAGACAGAGCCAGAGAGACAGAGACAGTGGGAGACAGGGAGACAGATACTGAAAAACAGAGAGACAGAGATACAGAGACAGAGAGATAGAGAGAGACAAAGACAGAGGGAGACAAAGAGATAGAGACAGGGAGACAGAGAGAGAGATACTGAGAAACGGAGTAAGAGAAGCAGAGACACAGAGAGGCAGAGACAGAGGGAGACAGAGAGAAACAGAAAGACAGAGACAGAGATAGAGACAGGGGGAGATAGAGATAGGTAAAGAGAGACTGAGAGACAGAGGGAGAAAGAGAGACAGACAGAAAGACAGAGACAGAGATAGAGACAGACAGACAGAGAGGCAGAGACAGAGGGAGACAGAGAGAAACAGAAAGACAGAGACAGAGATAGAGACGGGGGGAGATAGAGATAGGTAAAGAGAGACTGAGAGACAGAGGGAGAAAGAGAGACAGACAGAAAGACAGAGACAGAGATAGAGACAGAGATAGAGACAGACAGAGAGAGACAGAGAGACGGGGGCAGAGCAGAGGGAGAGGAAGGAGGCGAGTGGAGGGAGGCAGGTCCAGGCCCGGGAAGGGGCAGGCAGGGGCGCAGCTCGGGCAGAGGCAGGGCAGCTCTGGGAGCCGCATCCAGGCCCTGCCTGCTGGAGAAGCCCAGATGCCTTGCTCAGCCCCCCACCCCCAGGTCCCCTGGGCTGCCTGTCCCCAACCTGCTCAGCTGGCCTCTCTGGGCTCCCACATCCACACGCTGCAGTGCCCTGCCCACCATGGCAGCCTCCCGCACCCGCCTGACCATTCATCCCAACTGACCCCTTCCCTCCACCTGGCACCCACCTCCCCAGGGCCCCATCCGCCCTTCCCTGCCCTCCCCTTCACCACCCCATATTCTACTTGGACATTTTGTCCCCATGAGCAGTGAGACCGACCCATGTGTCCTGTGCCCTGCACCAGGGCTGAGGAGACATGCATGAGGGGGAGCCTGTGGGTCCAGGCATGGTGGGCCCAGACTTGGGGGAGGCGTCTCAGGGGCCATGCAGAGAGGAGGTTCCAGAAGGTGGCAGCAGATGATGCTGAGCCAGGCCTTGGGGCAGGTTTAGAAAGAGGTCAGAGGAAGGGCTGAGCACTGGCTCCAGGCGGCGGTCTGCACCCACGAGTGTGGGGGCAGGGGCTAGGGAGGCAGTTAGAAGCCAGGAGGGCCCATGTGCCAGGCAGAGGAACAGCGGTGGCCCTACACCGCAGTTTCTGCCAGCGAGCGGGACACGGGCTCAGAGGGATGCCCAGGGAAAAACTCGGAGGGGAGCACTTTAAGGCTCTTGAGCTGGCCCAGGGGTGAGGAGGCGACTGGACTCAGGCCTCACAGTGGTCCACCTCCAGGTGCTCAGGGAGGCCACAGTCCAGCAAGGACAGGTGAGGGGCCAGACAGCAGGAGGGGGCTGGGCATGGGTTCTCCCTGCTCTGCAAGGCAGCAACAGCTGTGGCCACACCAGGCAGTAAATCCAGGTGGCTGTGAAGTTGTGGGGTCCGAGGGAGGGTGGGGATGAGACTCGAGAATGGAGGTGGCAGAGGTGGGAGTGCAGCACTGCAGGCTCCTGAAGGGAGTGGAGGGGTCTGGGAGACGAATAGAGTCAATCTTGCAGCCCTGAGATTGGCTGGGGCCCTGGGGATCACGAGGGGAGACGTAAGGCTGACCACTAGGGAGATTACCATATAACCCAGATTGCCATTAACCCAGATGCGGGAAGACGGAGGGAGGTGCCCAACTTGCGTCATGGGGTGCTCGGTGCCCGTGGGGTCTTGTTCTCCCATTGCCCGTGTGTCTCCTTTGAGCCCTGTGCCCGACCTGTGTTCACATGGGTTCTTCCCATTAATTCTCGTTCCAGGAGAGCTTGGCTTGGACGAGGCAAGTGGAGAGAGGCGGGGGCCGGTGCCTCCCTGCGGTGAGTGGCCCTGCGAGACATGGGCAGCCAGGTGCCCAGGCCTTGGTCCTGTCCCCTGCCTAGTCCCCTCTGTCACAAAAGGAGCCCAGAACGGATGCTCTTGGAGGTCTGTGCAAGTTTGGTCCTTTCTGGTCTTAAGACAGCCGGTCTCTCTGCAGCTCTGATCAGCTCTGCTTTGGGACCTCCCAGCATCCCGGGGTCAAAGACACCCGGAGCGAGCGAGCAGGTCCTGGGGCGGCGGCCCTCCGCATTCCCACACTGACGCGGAGTTGCTGGCAGCGGCGACACCTTCCACTCTCCCTCCACCCTCCCACCAAGAGCCACGTGGACTTCAAAAGCCTAATTACTCCTGATTTGGGCTGTTTCCTGGTTTTGTTTCTCCAGGTGAGGAGGTTCCCTGTCACTTTCACTTTCTTATGCGAGGTGCAGGGGGCTGCCAGGGGCAGGAAAGCCAGGGCTCCCTGTTAGGGGGAGAAGGCGAAACCACACAATCCATTAGGGAGGCTGCGGGTGGAGGTGAGGAACCTCTCAGCGAGGTCCCGCAGGCCCACTCCGCTCCCACGCAGGACCCTCTTCCTGGCCCCGAGGGGGATGCTTTATCTAGAGGAGGCAGGAGAAAAGACGAGACAGCCGAAGCCCTGCCGGGGGGAAGACAGGAGACTTTCCTCTGCTCCCAAACTGTGCGACGCGACAGCCACGGGTCTCTGTTACACTTTCTTTCTCTGCAGGCCCTTCTGTCTCTACCGCCTATCGTGTGTGCTCTGGCTGCAGGGACCGCGTGTCCTCCCCCCATCCAGCTTGCCTGGGGACAGAAGGCAGTGAGGAGGAGGTCTCGTCCCCAGGGAGCCAGCCGCCCCAACGGGGAAGCTTCTTCTCAGGAAGCAGAGAATCACCGAGTGTGAGAATCCCACCGAGAACAAAGTGGGGGTGGGGCGGCGGGGAGCCGTGCGCGCCACTCGGCCCCATCAGTGTTAGGAGGGGTTCCCGGCCACCCCCTTCCCTCTGGGGCTGAAGGGCTGCCCTGGGCTCTGGATGGCAGGGGTGAGGAGAAGACCAGGGGCCTCACTTCTCTGCCCCTCCACTCTCACCCGGGCAATGCCGGGCTGCATCTGAGGATGTTTCAGGGACCACTCGGGCTGGAACGCTTATGGCCCAGGTGAAAAGGTGGCATACGTGTGCTGGAGGGAAACCAGGCCAGGGACCCTCGGGGCCGACAGGACAAAGCTCCCAGGGCGCGGGGTAGCCAGGAGGCTGGTGACAGAGCCCTTTTTTATGGGAGGAGCGCGGGGGCGAAGGCGCTTCCTCCTGCGCCCAGGAATTCGGCGGCGGCGGCGGCGGCGGGTTCTAATTAGAAGCCTGGCGCGGGAG